AACCGTAAACTCTAAACCCTAAACTATCTAAGCTCTAAATCCCAAAACCCTGAACCGACCACCCTACACCCTAAATTCTTAGGGCCTAGAGTCTGGGTTTGTGGTCCGAAGACTTGGGTTATTCGCCCTAAGCCCTAAACTCCTGAGACCCAAACCCTTAAACCGTAAATCCCCAAGATAGAATTTCACTACTTTCTACTGCTACTGCTACTGCTACTGCTACTACTACTACTACTACTACTACTACGACTACTACTACTACTACTACTACTACTACTACTACTACAAGCAGTATGCAACGGTATTTGTCCTGAGACATCAGCCGGCAGCGCGCCTTGGACGCCTTCTCCGGCCAACACGCCAAGAAAGGCAGCGACCCATGTGTCAGTGGTCTACGCCGCCGATGGGGCGGCTGTCGGATCCTCAAGGGCCACAACGTCGGTGTCGACGTGGCCATGGGCGTGCGGCATGGGAAGTTCGTCGCAGACCTCTCTGCAGGAGTGGAGGCTGGCGAGTGTTTCGTTGGGTGCTGGGGCACAGGCTGCAGGCGTTTTGTTGGGGAAGGGTCTCCCGGGCATCAACAAGAAAGATGTGGTCGGGATCGCAACTGCCACAGGCCTTCCGGCTGGCATCAAAGACAGGGATCGAATCGTCATGTTTGTTTGGGCCAGGTCTTGCTCAAGACTTTCGTTTTAGCGGAGCAGAACAAGCCAAGATGACCGAACTCCGCATTCACGAGTTCAACAGACGGCAGCTCGAAGAACTGCTGGGAGCTCACCTGTGCAAGTCATAAATGTTGGCACTTTGACTCACTCGCGCATGCTCCACGGTCAAGGTGGAGCTGGGTGCCACAGACAACCGTGGCGTGACGCCGGCAGGGCTCGCAGCCAGCGGCGGCCACGCGGCGGCGCTGCGGCTCCTGCACGAGGCGTGGAAAAGGGAGAGGGTCCTTCCCCCTCTCGCAGCTGGACTGACCTTGTGTGCACTGCTAAGGCCGAAGGCTTCGAAGAAGACCATTCAGATCGGCGGCATGAAGGGTCGGACGTGCGATCACACTAATGATTAATGCTCAGCCTTCAACATTTGGTTGAGACAGGGACATTGATGGTTTTGAAAATTTTGTTTGGACAGAACAGCTGCCTTGCTCTTTTGAGCAGTGGCTCATGCAACCACGAAATGCTCGTATCTCTGCTGCACAAGCAAAACAGGATCCCCCGAAGCTGCCAAACCCTTAGTAACTTGTCAGTGCCGTGTTCCGCCTCAGAGCCGGTCAAGCAGAGCGGTCCGACCTGGAAACAAGCACCTGGACCTGGGCCAACACCATGTTCCTATTTGGTCGACTGGGTGGACCCCGATGGCCGCTGGCTATACCGAGAAGAGCTGCAGAAACAGGAGGAAGGTGAAGAAGGGGATAAGCAGGAGCAGCACCAGGAGGAAGGTGAACAACAGGATCAACAGGAGGAGGACCAGGAGGAAGGTGAAGATCAAGATGACTACACCATGGGACAGGAGAGGGACCAGGAGGAAGGCGAAGATGAAGATGAAGGCCATCCGGGACAGGAGGGTTCCAGGAGGAAGGTGAAGAAAGCGAGAGACATGTGGCGAGAACATTTTGCATCTGGAAGGCGTGAAATACTTCAAGATCAGAGGAGGCGATGGCAACTGCCTTCTCAGGGCAGTTTCTCGATGGTTTCGCGACCCTCATCGCAGGGCCTCCTACGACTTTTGGGGGAGCCCAGAGCAAGCTTAGGCCGCGCGAGGAGCAGGCACACGCCCAACGGCTGCGAGCCAAGTGCGTGCTAAGATGAACGTGAGCCCAAGAGACCTTCACCTTGACGTGGGCCCAGAAGACGACGAACTCCTGGAGAAATTGTTGCAGGACGGAACCTGGGGGGATGAGCGATGGTTGTCGAGCATGACATCATGTGCATCGCTTGGAACGTTGTCCTCAAGTCTTAAACCTTACCTAAACCTCCAAGTGCCCCTGTTGGGCTCTAACCTGAATACCCACCATGAGCCTGAGCCTCTAGTAAGGCTAGCTGGCACCACTCTACACCCAAAACCCTAAACTCGTAAACCCCTAAACCCTAAACCCTAAATCTTCGTGCCGATCGTCGAAGTCCCCGGAGGTCCGTGAACGGAACTGTGATGGCTTCGATGCGGCTTACCCAGATGTAGGGCTTGGTGTAGGGTTCAGAGTTTAAGGTTAAGGGTCCAGGATTAGAGCGCGTCGGGGGTTTAGTAACAAGGATATACATTGCAAATTCGATTGGAGAATTTACTGAAGAACAATCTGGGTACTTATTAACGCCATGAGGGTTGTATGTTAGCTTCAGAGATCACGTGCTTAGGGCTTGTTCAGGGCATCAAAGTTTTTTGTTATAATCTCTGGGCGAAGGGTAAGCTGCAACTTAGCGATTTAGTTAGACGTCTGGGGAACCCGAGGGTAGGGGCTATTTTGCTCTTAACCCTAAATCCTAAGGTCTTTATGGGATGTGGGGTGGCTTAGGTTGGAGTCCGGTCGTCTTGGTCTTAGCCTAACTTTTTCGTGTTCTTAGTATGCGTGTTATTGTATCAGAAAACCCCAAGACATTACTCAACATAATATGTTCATTATGGTCTTGATGGCGCTTAAGCTAACCCCTAAACCCTAAAAATCCTAAGCCCTGAAACTAAATCCCTAAACCCTAAAACTCAGCCCCGAAACCTTAAACCCTTATGCCCTAGCCTCCTAACCCCAAGGATCTTTATGGAGCGGAGCTTAGGCTGTATCCTGGGTCGGAGTAGGACTCCCAGTGTCCAAAACGATACATAACATATCACTCAGTCAACATTGCTCCTTTAGGTTTAGGGCAAAGGCAAAGGCGTTGAGGGTTTAGGTTGGCGGTCTAGGATTTCGGACCGTAGGAGTTTACTGTTTAGGAGCTAAGGGTTTAGGGATTGGGATTTAGAATCTCATTATATAAAGACGCGATCAAGAGCTAAGGGTATGAAGGTGTTGCATTAGGTACGCCTTAACTGATGGAGTTCTTGCATAGCATCTTGTTTTTTTATCTCCGTGCCTCCCAGGGGTTCGGTACCGTACCCCCATCAAGTGTCCGCTTTAAATTCCTCTTCCCTGCTTACATTCACAACCTGACGTTTTCGACACATGTAGGAATGGACTCACAAAAAGCACGGCGCCCCAAACCCCAAGCCCTGCTGTATGGGATTGTTGCTTCTGTCGGGCTCGGGTTGTCAGAAGGCAAGGTCCTAGGGGTTGGGGATGAGGTCGATAGCCAGTTAGGCAGCTAGCTGGTTAGTTAGCTAGCCCAGTAGATAGTAGATAGGTAGATGGCTAGATAGGTCGAATATCCCGAAGCTGCATCATGATCATGACTGATTTCCAAGCCGCGAGCCCTAGACCGTCTTATTATTCCTAAACACGAAATCCTGCCACCTATGCTTGTAGTTACGGAAAAGGTAGCCCTAAAGAAGTAATTATCAGGATCGTTCCTTCGGGTTCCCTATTACATAAACTTGTTCTATTGTGTACCCCAGAACCCAGTTCCAAAAACTGAGGCGCTTCCAGTAGGCCTGCATTGAAACCCGCAAAGTCGGAAGATAAATATTTCTATTCGTTTTACTTTGCCAAAAAAAGGCATGAAGATAATGATGTTCCAGCTTTTCCCGGCTTCTGCTTTCGGCACCAACAGCTTCCATCTTTCTGAGACCGTCCTGCGTCCCTCACTGAAGCAGGAGCCATCTCTTAAGACAGTAATGTAGAAACCTGCTGGAGAAGCCTTGGCTACACGTCCTAATATGCAGTCCTACAGCACCCCAAAGCTCAGAATGCTAGACCCCGCAGACCAGCCCACCCCGTTTCAGAAGGAGAATGTGGGAATAGTACTCCGTAGCAAAATGCGCGAAGGGATCTTGAATGAGAGACCTGTCGATCTCGGGCTTTTTGGGCAATATAGGTCTCGGAATTGTTACCAATACTATCGCGTAGGGATCCTTGTTTTGATGATGGTATACTGGACCTCAACACACCACTTTAATTCGTAAGGTCTCTACCTGTAGGCCCCATAGTAGTTCTTTTTTGGGATTACCTTTATAGGATTCTAAATATGAACCCCAAAAAGGAACTACTATCGGGCCCATGGGTAGAGCGCAAGTACCCAGGATTGTTGAAAAATCGATCATTAGGGTCCCCTTTTAGGTCCCCAATATAGTACCGCGCCCTTATAAAAAGGACCCCTAAACGGGACCCTAATTGAGAGAACTACCTATATCACAAGTACCCAGGATTGTGGAGAAATCGATCCGTGTGGCCTTCGACGCTTCCGAGAGCCATGGCTTAGTAGACAAGGGGCTTTAGGGTTCAGGGGGTGTAGGGTTTGGGTTTAGGGTTAAGGTTTAGGGTTTAGGGTTTTGGGTTTTGGGTTTAGGGGGTGTAGGGTTTTGGCTTTAGGGGGTGTAGGGTTTGAGTTTAGGGTTTAGGGTTTAGGGTTTAGGGGGTGTGGGGTTTGGGTTTAGGGTTTAGGGTTTAGGGTTTAGGGTTTAGGGTTTAGGGCCTTATAGGGTTNNGTTCAGGGTTTAGGGTTTAGGACTCCATAGGGTTTAGGGTTTAGACTTTCTTAGGGCCCAGATAGGACCTATAGGACCTATCTGGACCCGGGCTTGGGACTTGCGATATGTAGGGTCTGAGCGTTGGGGTTCAGGGTTTAGCACTTACATATACGCAGTTTGACCAGGGAGAAGCCTCAACCGAAGCCAGAAACTTGGAAACAGATCATCATCGACTCGGAACGGAAGCCTGAACACGGAACCTTCAGCTCGTAACGAGAGTGCTCGTGAACTTAAGCAGCCAGCTGGAAACCTGTACAAAAGCGTTAACCAAGGCCTTAACCCGAAATCCGAAACTCTCCCAAACCCCAGACCCTAAACAAACCTTTAACACGAATCCGAGTTCTAGACTCTAGACCCAACCGTGAACCCTAGATAGATCGGAACCTTTAGATGCGCACGCTCATGCGTGCGCAAAAGTCATAGTCATAGTCATAGTATCTTAAAGTCGGAGCCGGCAACCCTGAAACCCTATACTCTTTCCCAGTTGCCTTTAAACTGGATTGAGGAGTACCATGCTTTCCATACTTTCGTCTACCATTATGAAACAAGAGGTTTGTCTTTGGAGGCTTCCCCGGAACTATTTTGTGTTCAGGACTTCGGAGGTTGGNNACGACATGACGATGGCGACATGATGAGCACGAAATGACGACGACGACATGCTGCTACTGTGATGATGACGACAAAGGACCAAAAATACCAATACTGTCGGGATTCGACGATTTAATCGAAGTGCTTCAAATAACATCTAATTCGCCTCCCTGCTGCGAGCCCTGCGTGAAACACAGGGGTTTCGTCATGTACTGAAGTACAACTCCGCACTCGCACAAGATAAAACCTCCAATTTTCATGTTTTGTTTCAGTCCTCAACACAAGAAGCCCAGAACTGTGAACCGAAACACAACAAAACAACGCGACTGTCGAGATTCCGTGTTTTAATCGAGGTGTGCGGTTAGCGAATATGCTCCCCTGCTGCAAATTCACCATGGAACGCAGGGCTTTCGTCATGTTTACAAGTAGTCGTCCGCACCCGCAAAAGACAAAACATCGCGTTTTTTGTTTTCGTCTGATGCCAGAAGCCTTATCTTGTAGCATATGCGCTTACTTCCAGGCCATAAGCATGCGGAAGACAACAGGTTCCGAATCATGTGGCTCTGTGGCGTAAGTTCAAAAATCCTCGGCATTTGCGGTGCTTTCGAGCTCTTACAACAAGTGCTTCTGTTAAACTTCCCCATGGTCTCCGTGACACCACACGCCAAATAATTTTCCTTACCTTATTAACCGAAGTAACCTACCACCAAACCCTAAACGACAGACTATAGGGGCCTTAATAACTACCAA